ATGTATAAATGCATTATATTGCCAAATGTATTGGGACTAGAGGTCAACCGATATGGGTTTTTCAATAGCCAATGCAGATATTTAGGAGTCAGGGTCAGCCAATGGCCGATATATGCTGCCGATATTTTTTGCCCGAAAATAGGACATTTTCCCCTCTATTTGCATGATAAAATATCACACTAATAATAACAAAGGATACACAAAATTTCTCAACTTAGCATTTATTGAATACTGACTTATGTGTAAATTTAAATATAAACTTAACAAAAACACAATACAACTTGTAAACAATAAAAACAGTAGCACTAGAATATCTTTTAGTGCACAATATAGCAGCAAACTCCTTCAGCTCCCAAGCTCACCAGCCTGCTGCAGATATTGCACCTGGCTTTTCCTGGTGTTGGCTTGGTGAAATGCTGCCATATAGGATTAGATTTTTGTTCAGCCATCAGACAGCAATTACTAAAATAGAAGAAAAAATACAAGGTTAGCATGTTTATTATAGTGCCTTCATCTTCAATTCATTCTACAATTCCAGTATTCCATGCACATTAAAACAATTACACTCTAATACATTTTGGGGAAAAAAAAAACAGTGTTAACTAAGTGCATCATGGTATGATGAGTAGTGTAAAAGGCCAAAACCTTTCACTAACATGTTTATGTTGTTAGCAGACAGATAACTTACAAGCCAAATTCACAATCAGAATCTAGCGATCGCAGAAAATAAAATAACCGTCGTATTACACAGCCTTGTATGCAAGGACAACATAATGGTGCATTCGATTATTTCTCTCCAAGTCAGAACTCGGATGAAAACGTCACGAAAAACGTGACTTCCCGTCGGAAACACGCCTCTTTTATGACGTTGAAGTCGGACAAGATTTTGTTGTCCGAGTTGCCCCTGTGACGTAATTTCAACATGGCGACTTGGTTTGTTTGTAGTTTGTTTACCGTTCGAAAAAAAGAATATCGCTATGAATGTACTAAAATATTTTATAAAGCTTTTAATGTGGTTTGACTAGTTCGTGTTTCTTGTTTATCTCTCGGAAAAAAATCCAAATCTGCTAAAATATAAAGCAACAACACACAGCAACATGGGGTGTGTCCGAAATCGCGCACTTGCGCACTTTTAGTGCGCGATTTTAGGGCGTAGTGCGTTCACACTGACAACTAAGCCAAAATTCAGTGCACTGAAAGTACCCGGATGGTGCACTGAAAACGGCCAGAAAACACAGTGCAGAATGATGGACACTACTCGCACTAAACGGACGCCATTTTGACTACGTAGCGGAAGGGGAGGGACTTTCAGCAAGTTTTTATTGTTAAATTAAGGCGGACAACAACACAGACACGTAAGCCCAAGCGGAGGCAACTGCTTCATATAAATCTAAGTAACGTTAATAAAATTATTTTACTGATGTATACTGCGGTGTGTAGCCTGGCACTCTCTGACGACAGTTATAGATAATTTGAGTTTGCGATTATATCGACTTAGAACAGTTTGCACACGTAAATGTTAGCAGTTTTTAGCCGGTTAGGCGGTCGTAGATAGGTTATATACACGCAAATAAAACCACAAGGAAATTCATTGTAAACAAAACACGGCAGATATTTCGGCGCGCTGGAGAATCGCGATCAAATGCTAGTCCGTCACTTCCGGTAAGTGCAAAACGTTAGTGTTCCATTTAGGACAGCACTTACCCATGGTAGTGTGCCCTACAGAAGGAAGTGCGCACTACATCTCAGTGCACTGACGCAAGTGCGCGATTTCGGACACACCCATGTTCATTGAGGCAGCCATGTTTGTTCCGAGATGTGGATAGCTGGAACGGGAGATTGTCGGACGTGATGTCACTCAACTCGGAATTTCTGAGTTCCGAGAGAAAAATGAACACACCATAAGCCCCAAGTGATTGTGACGTTGTCGACGTATAAGCCCGTATAACGGATAGACACGTTTAATGAGGAAACTAACTGCGCAAAGTCATGCACTTTTTATCTAGACGTCTGATAAATTGTTCGAATCTCCGCTCTGAAATGCAAACAAGTTGCACAGAAGGACCATTGTCAGCTTCAGCTCAAGTGAATGGTAACCATGCTTTCGAACAGTTTTCTTCGCCATGCATTGTTAGCAGCTCTGTGTCTCCGAGGACGGTGCTGTCTGTTGGTGTAAAATCAGGGCAGAGTAACGCAAGTCACACACGCTGCAGTGTTTGACAGAGCTGCCTGCTCCGCCCCACACACACACACAAACTCTACGACACAAGAAAAAAAAAAACACAACTGATAACATCGGGCTGATATGGTAATAATTAAAATATTAACAATTAAAATTATTTTTAACGATTAAAAAAAACGTCTGTGAGCCCACCAATAAGCGCACAAAACTAACTCTGTCACAATCAATGATCCTTAACGCTACCTGTAAGCTACAGTTGGTTGAAGGCTCATTATCATTATGCCAGTTCCCGACAGCATAATTCGCGGTCTCTTTCAAAAGCGCTCGCGTTTTCTTTTAAAGCAACATTTCATAGCAAACCAGTTATATAAAATAGGTCTTTGAAAGATCACAATTTAAGCCTTACCGTTTTCTCCCAGGACTCTTCCAAAACTTCTGGCTGGGGTCCTGCACAAGGCAGCATGGGTCACGTGTTCCACAGCAACAATAACACTGGGCAGACGTGCCTGTCTGTAAATCGGCGTAGTGCACTCGGATATCGGCCGATGCCGATACATGAAAAAATGCCAAATATCGGTCTACCTCTAATTGGGACATCCCTCAAAATCATTGAATTCAGGTATTCCTAGTCACTTCCATAGCCACAGGTGTATAAAATCAAGCACTTAGACATGCAGACTGCTTCTACAAAAATTTGCATGGGTCGCTCTCAGGAGCTCAGTGAATTCAAGCGTGCTACCATGATAGGATGTCACCTGCGCAATAAGTCCATTTGTGAAACTTCCTCAATACTAAATCACTGTACATCCATTTTAAATGATTGCATGCTTGAAATAACATACAAATAATATTGTATAATGTTTAATAATGGCTGCTTGGAATATTGAATTGGACAAATTTTAAAATGATTAGTCGAAAAAGATATTTTTGCATACCCCTATTGTTCAGAAAGTCTTGTTCTTAGATAGTGACCAGAATAAAGAATAAAAAACGATAACATTTCAAAATAAAAACAATTTGGTTTTGTTTTAGAAGGCTTGAAAAAATTTGTCAAAAAAGACGATCGGGGATGAATCATTTTTAAAAAAAAATTTCATCTACAACTTAAACTGCTTCAACTGTGAAAAAGTAGTAGTAGTAGTAATAATAATAATTGCACTGGCTCAACGGGCTAAACTTCTATGCCAGTGATTTAGAAGGTCACTGGTTCAAGCTGGGCCTTGACACATCACATCTGTGGGCCCATGAAGAAGGCCCTAACCCCCTGCTCCATGGGCACCATTGCAGGTGGCTGCCCTTCACTGCCATGCTTACTCTCAACTACATATTTGTCTGTGGGTCATGGTGAGCAAGATGGAGAAAAGAGAATTTCTCACAGAAATCAGTAAAATGTTGTTAATATTATTGATCACTAGACCCGTATTTTGAGGTGGGTGCTTTCCTATACATGTAAACAGGAAGGCTTACTATTATTATTATTAAAATAATAAATAATAATAATAATAATGTTGCATGTTTATATTCCTCTATTCTTTTTATTACTCTTTTATTCCTTTTTGTTTACATATATAGCAGTGTCTCTCAAAATTTGCTGACAGTTTCTTTCCTCAGTAAGGGTCCAGATAACCAGTCATTCTTTATCCATAAAACAAGGTACATTGCAAGAACTAACATTAGGTTAGAGTGGGGGTAATAAGGGTGAAACGGTAAGAGGACAATATGAGCAAACTTCTTATGTTTTCACTTTTATTTCAGTGATATTCTGATTCGGGGAGATGAAATAATGGGGAGGGGGGTGTTAATCTAGCCCTGTTAACAAACACAGCACTTAAACAGCACATGTTAAAATCCCGACACTTTACCATGTTCAGGTCAAATAATCATAAATTATTTTAAGCTATTCTGTCATAAATTTGGTTGTAAATTGCTGCAGATGAAAAGTACATGGCAGCGTCCACGCTAAATCTTATAACCCAAGGACAGCTGGAACCTGACATCCAGGTTGCTAGCAACTCAACATAGATACATAAGGGTTAAATATATACAATAACTAAATTTTCATATTTAACAAATGTACTTAACATCGCAGTGCAGGGATCCTTTTGAATGAAATACAGCCACACTTCAGACCATATAGCTTTGGGGTTTTTTTTTTTTTAAATGTATTTAAGGCAGCTACTAGCTAATGCTGACATCAGAGCACGTAAGGTCGACTAGCGATGGCACGTGAGTTGCAGTGATGCTTCTGTTGCATGTGCACCCAAGGGTGAATATTTCACTCGACAGCTCTGGCATTTAAGCGACATTTAAATAAGATGCCTAAATCTGCATTTCAATACAGTCCGGTACAACTATGCTTAATCACTGCAGAAATTAACCTAGAAAACTGGAAAAAATGCAGATTAGCCTAAAAGGTTTTTATAGCTTGATATCGAATTAGAGGAATATTTAAAAACGATTTATCAAAGAAATTTTTGCACACCCCTATTTAGTAAAGGAATGCTAATAAAGAATGAAATACTGATAAATAGCAGTGTACTGCTTTCACGCCAGAGAGATTTAATCTCTCCACTTCTTTTTTAGAAGTGAAACGATTATTTTTAAGCAAATTTTCACTTCTCTGGAATGGTCTTCATTTTTTGGTGAATTCTTTTTCAAATTACAATCTTATTGCTTTTAGGGTTATTCCTTACTTGTGTAGTAATATAGACTATAATATACAATATATTCCCCCTCTTTTCTACAGATAAAAGAGGATCTATTAGCCAATGGAAAAGAAGATTATTATGATGAGTATGAAGAGGTTGGTGATGTTGAAAAAAATGAAGATCTAATATGGAAAGAGGCAAAGGATGAGGTTCACATGGAAGATGATCTAGAGTACTATCAGGAGCACATCAAGTTTATAGACAACATGCTCATGGGCTCTGGTGCCTTTGGCAGAAAGATCTCACTGAGCGGCTCTCCCCCTGCTGAGCCCAGCTTTGAGTGGAAGGTCCCCAAAAAACCTCCTTTTCCCAGCACACACTTCTTGTCTGATGCGGATGAGTTTGACTACAGCTCCTGGGATGCCATGTGTTATCTCGATCCCAGCAAAGTGGGTGAGGAGGATGACTTTGTGGTGGGATTTTGGAACCCTTCTGAGGAGAACTGTGGAGGAGAGACAGGCAAACAGGCAATCTCCTACGATCTGCACACCGAGCAGTGTATCGCTGATAAGAGCATTGCTGACTGTGTGGAGGCTTTGTTGGGATGCTACCTTACAAGCTGTGGGGAGAGGGCAGCCCAGATGTTCCTCTGTTCCCTTGGTCTGAAGGTCTTACCAGTGGAGAGGAGAAGTTCCAATGACCGTGCCCTTCTGGCAGCTGGGGAAGATGATTATTTAAATGACATGCAGTACGGCTGGCTCACGATACCACCTCGGTGTATGTTCGACCACCCAGATGCTGAAGACACGCTTAAACACCTTATATCTGGATTTGAGAATTTCGAGAAAAAAATCAGCTATACCTTTCAAAATAAAGCCTACCTTCTGCAGGCTTTTACTCATGCCTCATACCATTATAATACCATCACAGGTATCATTTAAATCTTATTCATTTATTGTGATATAAATGGAATTTTTTTCCCCACAGAAAATGAAATCTTTACAGTTCTTTCATGTACTTGTGCTGTCCTCTTCCCCTCCCTGGCAGATTGTTACCAGCGGTTGGAGTTTCTTGGTGATGCAATCTTAGACTACCTCATTACAAAGCACCTTTACGAAGATCCCCGGCAGCACTCCCCAGGGGTGCTGACAGACCTGCGATCTGCGCTTGTCAACAACACTATATTTGCTTCTCTTGCTGTCAAGTATGACTACCACAAATACTTCAAAGCTGTGTCACCTGAACTATTCCATGTTATTGATGATTTTGTGCAGTTTCAGCTAGAAAAGAATGAAATGCAAGGAATGGATTCTGAGGTATGTACTTTTCACCTGTTCCTGTACTCATGGTCATAAGTGAGATTTGTCATTGTTAAACCATAGGACAAATAGTCAGACTTTATCTAGCAGTGTTTTATACATTTTTTAGTAAATTAAAATTTACTTGCATTTATAGCATTTATATTTTTGGTCTGCATTTACTTGAGGTTTTAAACAACCACCATTGTTATTTATAGGAAGTGTCGACTCTTGCTGTGGAATGCATAATTTTATCCAGATTTCTTGTTCTGTTTCTCTCTCTCTCCCCCTTTCATATATGTGTGTTCTGTATATAAACTATTTTAATCAGTTGCTATATTAAAAATAATTCTACAGAGCAGCCTTAACTTAAGATCTTTTTATAAAAACAACACATCATATGAAACAAATTTTCACATTTTATTTTCTTATTTTTACAAGGATTCTGTGATTCCTTTTAACAGTAATTGCTAGTGCAGTTGTGTGCCAGGCCTAGTTTTAAAACTTCTTGGTAAAATGCATATTCTACTTACAGCTCCGTAGATCGGAGGAAGATGAGGAGAAAGAAGAAGATATAGAAGTGCCCAAAGCAATGGGAGATATTTTTGAATCACTTGCTGGTGCAATATACATGGATAGTAAAATGTCATTGGAGACTGTTTGGAAAGTGTACTATCCAATGATGAGGCCTCTGATAGGTATGATATGAAAAGGGTCAAATACGCCTGGCCTAAATGTTTTTTCCCTCCTGAAAATGTTTTGTTGTATGTTTGTGTTTTAAATAGCTATAGTTCTATTTTCCTGCAGAGAAATTTTCTGCTAATGTGCCACGTTCTCCTGTTCGTGAATTGCTTGAAATGGAGCCAGAGACGGCAAAGTTCAGGTTGGTACCTTGCTCAGAATTGGGCTTTATTCTTCCATGCTGAGGTACACTTGTGACTTCTGGCATTTTGCCTAGCTTTTGTTTTTATAAGATGGTACTTCAGGTAAAGTGGATTTCAAGTCTATACCCCTTTTGTAGGGCTGTAATGGTACACATATTTATTGCATACCATTTGGTACATTATTTTTGGTTCAGTAGGCACAATGAAATGAATCAATGCATTTATTGACATGGCAAAAACTTAAATTCCAGAGTAGATGTTCAAAAAGAAAAACATACTAATGCTGGCTGTGAGTTGGTTATAGCTAAGGCTTATCATAATCATAGTCATAATTGGTGGTTTGAGAACATTTTGGTTTCCCAGTAAATTACACCAAAACTGGAGAGAAGCAAATGTATCCAGTGTGCTAACTCATCTAAGATCTTCATCCTAGTGTGTACAATTGGTGTAATGTAATTAGTAACTAGTTGGCTAGCTTTTCCCAGGAAATTTTTTGTTCAAAATAACAGCTACAGATATGCGACCATACTCTCGTAGTAAACAGAGGATTTAGATGAGATTTAGTTTATGATGATTATTTTTACAATGTTCAAGTAAGTGACTTAAGTTTTATTAAAGCACATCGACAGACACATTATCTTTTGGCTTACATCAGTTCCTTCTTTGTATTTACAGTTTTAATAAATAATTTCAAAACAAATTGTTTTCCCTGCTATAGCAAAATTGCACTGAACTGTGAACCCAACCCTGAGGTTTGTACCAAACCATGAATTGTGTACCATTACACCCCTATCCTTTAGTGATTAAAGCACTTATTTTTGAAATCAGACTTTAACCCTTTAGTAAATTTTTATGATGAAAAGTGCATGTAAAAAAATAGGGACCACGGGAAATAAACTTTTAGGAAAAGTAATTAAAAGATGTTGGCTGTATACTTTTATAATGGGGGCTGTAACTTCAACAAGTCACATTTCTGGATTATGTACAAAGGTAACTTGCTTATCTGAAATCAACAGGTGCATCTGATTGATAATAGCTGAAATATATAGTGAGCATATGTAGACATATGTATGAATAAATAATTCTTAATTTTTTAACTCAGATTAATTTTTGGTATGAAAAATGTATAGCTTAAATTTTAATGGTTGCTTACTCATCAAATGAACCTTTTATTCTGTAGTGTACAGCTCGAGTCCTGTATCATCATTTGGATTATTGTGGTTATTTTAGTTTATTAATATTGCTATTACTGAATCCTTGCAGCCCAGCGGAGAGAACGTACGATGGCAAAGTGAGGGTGACTGTGGAGGTGGTGGGCAAGGGCAAATTCAAAGGCGTTGGCCGCAGCTACAGGATTGCAAAGTCAGCTGCTGCACGGAGAGCTTTGCGCAGCCTCAAAGCAAATCAACCTCAGGTTTCAAATAATTGAGCTAAATACTTTACAGTTATTTTCAAAAATAGCCTGCATCACACCAGGATGAAATGTAATATCACAGCTTTTGATCATTTGAGGAGAGGATGAGAATCGTTAGAAAGCTATGGTTTAAAAATTGTAAATAAGGGTTATTTTGATTTTAATTTTTGCGCAAACAATCTGTCCCTCCCTCATACATTCTTTAATCACGAGAGTGCTTTATAAAGAATAAAAAAATGAGGACTTTTTTTTTTTTGTCAGTTCTAGCTGTCTTTTGCATTTAACCCTGCTTTATGTTAGTAGTTAAAGAAGCAAATGTTGATTAATAGAATAAATTCCTCAGTCTGTGCACTAGTGCCAGTTTAACAGCATTTTATAATTACTCTGGTCATGGAGCAATGGAGTGCTGTTTTTATTTGATATTTGTTGCTTGATTAATTTTATTCATTCAGTGACATTGAACATTTTCCATTGTGTTATGTATTTGTATGTAATGTGTGACATTAAAGTACAGTACTTTTTATGTGAAAGGCCCTACTTAATTTCAAACATGAAACAGATGAGAGTTCAACGTTCCCATTTAGTGTATACAAAAAACTGTAGTATTCAAGGATGCATGTTTGTTTATGTATTTTGTGACAACTGGATAAATTGTAACAATATTATAGCTCAAAGAAATTTACATCTGTTTCAGTAAATGTCTTTTGATACAGAGAATGATTGCATTTTAAGACCATTAAACTATCCATTTACTATATTTAGTTTTGATAGTACAATAATATATACATCCTCTGCTTGGGAAGTATGCTGCAAAATTTGAAGATGGAGAAGAAAAAAAATAGCATCTCTACACATTTATGATACAGAATGCTCTCTGATTTTACTCATCCTTTTTGTACCAAAGTTAGAGCTGTTGCAGTGCTACAAGGTTGCTATAGGGTTTGCATTTATGATGTTTTTTTTTTAAAATTTATTTCATATAAAATTAGCCTCAATTTTAAATTAACTTTTCAACAGCTTTTTTTTATCATAGTTCACTATGTTTTATTTATTTAAGTAGCAGTTGACTTTTTCACTTGAATACCTCATTTACCTGCATGCTTTTTTGTTTGTTTGGTGCTATTTTGTATTAAGCTTGAATTTCTCATCTTTTTTGCACTGTAACTATAATACCTCTTTTGGAGTCTATTGGATTAACTCTCCTAACAATGAGCTGTCCAGCTAAAGAATTAGATTCTTACCTTTATGATTTGTGACCTTTGACATTTGGAGGAGCTCAGAAACATTCCCTTCATATATATCTTTGAATGGAAAAGTGTGTGGAATGGAAAGGGTCGCTTAACACATATTTAAGTAAACAGATTGCACACAGGCTGATAGCTATTGCAGGCATTGACATGGCTATTGTTGATGAAATGATTTTAATAAAAACAAGCCCCCTACCACACTAGTTGCTTGAAATTTTAGATAATACACAACATATAACAGTCTGAAATATATTGCTTCCAGAACCGCCATCATCATTTCATGAAATAGAGACTTTTGGAAGGCTTTCATAATTTTGATTATACTTGTACTAGTTGGCTGAAAGGCTTATGTTCTTGATAGTGTAGTATAGTCAAGATGTTCTGGAGTGCTTCTACCTCAGAAGACATTGCACTCTGTTCATTGACTATTACAATGTCTTACTTAAATTGAGAAATAATGTGGATCTTTTATTATTGGACAAGACTTCAATTTGACAGATGTATAGTGGTAATACTGAATACTGTAGTCTTTTTACTGTGATGTACATATACTGGTATGCTACACTTTGCACTAAATCAACATTCCCAAGAATATAATGCATCTCTGACATTTTGAAAGTAGGAAATACAACATAAATCAGTGCCTTTGATCTTGCAGAAAATCTTACTTATCCCTCTTTATACCCTTTTCCCTCTTTTTAAAAGCGCACCTGTAATATGTAAGGAGCCAATTTTTGTGTGCATGAACTTGTGTTTTAGTCTGGGTGCCATATGTTTCAATGAATGTCATTATTGTACTTGTTGAATAAATATGATGCTAAGAATAAAATACATTTAAAGCTTGCAAAGGAAACATCATGTTCTCCTTTCCTTTTTCCTGTTGCTGGTGGGGACATATACGGAGTTAATCTATTTACAGTAACTTGTCCTTTCTTAAAATTTTGCGTTCAACAATATTCAATATCTGCAGGTATGTATTTTAAAATGGACTGTAATATGTGCAATCTGGTTACATTTCCAAAGTGAGTTGAGTGACCCTTGCTGCATCATACTATATTTGATATACTGAAAAGAAAATCAGTGCTAATGCACTGTCCCTCACAACATAAAATTGATGATGCTGATAATGTTAATGATCATGAAATACTGCTGGACAAGCAACACATGGGAAAATAATTACTTAGATCATTTAGAATGTGAAATTGATTTTTCTTTTTTTGTGCCAGAATTTTTTCCCCACAACATTAAAGTCAACTTCAATACTCTTGCAACTATCATCTAAATAAACACGATCATTTTATTATGCTGTGAACCTTGTGTTGGTGGATAATTGCTTTGTTATTTTTGCTTTCTTTATATACTGTACGTAGCACAAATAAGCATTGCACTTAGGAACTTGCTTTACCTCATTTCAAATAAAGGACAAGATTTGTGTAGAGTGGGGGAGAAAAGGTTTAACCCTTGTTACTGTTTAAATTATACAAATGATTGTGATCTGAACACAGCATGCCTGCAGATGCAGTATAGGACAGTATCTGATTTTTATGGGGCTAAATATATTTAATGTATACAGCCTCTCCCCTGGTTACGATGGGGTTACGTTCCGATAAACCTATTGTAAGGCGAAAATGCATTTTAATACTATTACCTATACCTATTCTAACAAACATCCTAGCCTAGCCTACCTTAAAACATTCTCAGAACACTTAAATTAGCCTACAGTTGGGCAAAATCATTAACAGTCTGTTTTATAATAAAATGTTGAATATCTCATGTAATTTGTTAAATGTACTGAAAGCAAAAAACGTTTACCCATTGTAAAGAAGAAGTATCGTAACACGGGCCATCGTAACCTGGGGAGCGCCTCTATCTGATGTCCTACCTTATTTTTTCATAGAGAGTATTTAAATGTAATGTTTTCCACAAACTCAGTCATGTGATACGCATGACTTGAAATTCATTTCACTGTATTTTAAAATGTGTGCATACCACTAGAATAAAAGTCATCAATACCCCATTTGTTCTGTGATTTTATGACTCCAGTGCCAACAGTACCAACCATTAGAACGTCTCTACAATAGGGCAGTGGTGGTCTAATGGTTTGGGAAGCACACTTGTAATCAAAAGATCATTAGTTTGAATCCCTGACCAGCAATGAACCACTGAGGTACCCCAAGTAAGGTACTGCTCCCTGGTTGGTGAATTAGCTGTCCCCTGCTATGTCATGATGTTATAAATGGGTGAAATACAGAAGACACATCTCGTTGTCATGTTTGGTGGTGTGTCAACAATGACAACTAATCCCTTTATATTTAAAGAGAAATTTTTAAACCGGAGCACCTGAAGCAGAGCTGCCCAACCCTGCTCCTAAAAATATACCACCATGTGGAAATAATACTACCCTGCAACCCCAATTTAAACCCTGATACAGATAATCAGGCCCTTCAGTTGCATCTCCATATGGCACTTTTTCACTGGCATACAGGAACTGAGTTCTACCCAAGGCATACTGCAAAGGGACACTTTACAGAGCGGTTCCAACTTGGATCGGTTTTCCACTGCAGAAGGGTCAGCTTGGTAAAGGCGTTGTCGACAGAAACTTAAAACTGAAGGGACGCTTATTTGCTCTTCAAACAGTGTATATCATGATTTACTATGTGTAAATTTCTTAATCTTTGAGAATTGCCATTGTTATGTTGGCATCAAATGTTAGCAAATTAGTGGTTACTTGCATAAATGTGCATTACAAATCCATACAACTGTTTATATAGAACTTTAAGTAGGAGGTTGCATGGAACTAGTTGACCAGGAAACTCAACCAGCAGGCCAGATTTACCCAAACCCTCCCCTATACCCCCCAGTGTTCTGCAGCACAGTGGAATAACTGATCACCATGGGGTCAAACCACTGACTTTCTGATCACAGGCACAGAGGCTCAGCCCACTGAGCAGTGTGCTGCCCCCTATGATACCTACTAGAGTTTTCCCAAGGGAAAATTCAATACCTTGCATATACAGACGCTTCTCTACTTACGACTCAGATGCGTACGGCCGTTCGTAACTTGAATTGTTCGTTATTGAACATCATTTTAAGGGTATACGCAAGTACAGAGAACTATGATGCTGGGAGTATGCAAGCTGCGCTGCTGCCCGGCGGGAGTAGCGGCCAGAAGTTGTACTACCCGGAATTGGCACGCAGAAAAAAAAAAATTATGTTGCGGACAGGAAACGGGAGTCCAATTAACACAATTTGGACTTACAAACTTACAACTTACAGACTGTAAGTAGAGGAGCATCTGTGATTGAAATCTGCACTCTTTATTTTTAATTAACTTATGGATTAAAAGCAACTGAAGAATGTGTTTAGTGGAGTGAGTGCCCTCCCCAAGTACCCCAGATATGGGAAAATTGTGGGCCTGCCAGCTTTTCAAGAGGGTGTCAATATTCAGCTTTGGGAAAGGTGGTGCATTGGTGAGAGAAATCTTTGTTCAGTGAAACAGGTGGTTTAAAATCAGATAACAGTGAATTTATCATCCGATCCATCCTCCCTATTTCTCAGAAACTCTGCTGGTGATCAGCCTTTCAGTAACAAATATTTCAAATGCACAAGCAGATGCAAGGTGTTTGCAGTGCTATCACATATTCTCTAAGGAGAACTGTCCTAGGAGATTTAATTTATGAAGCATCATTGCATCATTGTAACAGATTGCTACAGAAGAGGCTGGGCACTGACTCCTCTCAGAAAATACCATGAACCCATCTGTATGGTGGATGCAGTAATTCCACCCATCACATCTCCTTGTACTCACATTTAAATGGCCCTACATTCAATTAAATTTTATTTGTACAGAATAATGCATTTTCACAGCATTACATTGTCTCAAAGAGATTTAAATTATCCCTGCCCAAAGGCCTCAGTGAGCAAGCCAGAGATAACAGTAGCATGGAAAGACTACCTAGTAGGAAGAAACTTTAGGAGGAACCAAACTCAAAGGGGCAGCAGTGGAAGCCAAATAAGTCCTGATGTATACTGTAGGATTTTGCTATAGTGCTTCGTTATATTACTGGTTGTTAGATTAAGACAGAACTACTAAGCTACTTAAACTACTAAGACAGAAATCCCAGCTTGCATGGCCTCCTGTAATCAAACAATAGTTAATTGCAGGGAACGTGCTACTGCAGGGGTGGGGAACCTGTTCCATGGAGGGCTGGTGTGGGTGCAGGGTTTTGAGATGACCTCTCAATGAGCCAATAATAAAGCAGTGGTTCTCAAGTCCAGTCCTGGGGACCCACTGTTATTGGCTGATTGAGAGGCCATCCCAAAAACCTGCACCCACACCGGCCCTCCGTGGATCAGGTTCCCCACCCCTGCCCTACTGAGACTAAAAGGCAAGGTGCTAGACCAGAGTTCTTCAAATCTGGAGTTCGATTCCAAATCCAGGCCTTGTTTACAGTTCTCCTAGGTAGTTAGTTTAATAATTACTGATTCTGATTGGTCAGAGGCTTCACACCTGACTGACAGATAAAGGAAGGCTGGAAAACCAGCAGTGCTCGGACCTCAAAGACCGTGATTTGAATAACCCTGTGCTAGACTATGGAAGTCAGCAAACAATGACAGAGCAATCAAGCTGCCACAAGGTAGGATGATCACGGAAAAAAGTCTTTCATGACCATCTTCTGGTTCATGGTGTACCATCATGATTTATCCTGCATTTGATAATCTCTTCCTGTCGGAAACATGCCTCCTTTCCAATGTTGATGTCGGAGAGAATTTTGTTGTATGGGATTCCCCTGTGTCATCATTTCAACATGGCGGCTTACACAGTCAACAGTAACTCTATTTTATAATAAATATTAAAGTGTTTATTTTGTTAAATGTATTGAGTTATAAATGTAATTGCATGTGGTCGATTTATTGAATACTACATCCTAACCGCAAACAGTATCTTAGCATGGAATATCAGATTTTTACTAGACTTGTTAGTGTCTTTTGTTTGTTTGCCTCTCAAAAGAATATCACAATGGATCTACTAAAATATTACAAAGCTTTTAATGTGGTTTCACTAGTTTGTTTGTCTCTCAGAAAATTTCGTTCCAAATCTGTTAAAATATTGTAAAGCAAAAACACACAACAACAGCGTGTTCATGGAGGCAGCCATATTTGTTCCGAGATGTGTAGCTCGAACGGGGGATTGGTTGGAGGCGACATCATGCACCTCGGAATTTCCAACTTCGCTGAGATAATCGAATGCACCATTACTATACATTAATTTCCACTAGCAATTCATTGTTACGTGCCGTAAGTTCTAGGAGGAGCCCTGCCGACTCTCCGGACCTCCCTCCCTGGTCGCCATTCGCCGGCTGCATCTTGGCTCCGCCTTGCTGACCAGACCCCGCCCACGGCTCCTCCAATGCGTCGCGCGTCACTTCCTGGCTCCGGGAGCTGAAAAGCCGACAGGAAGACACCTCAGGAGCTCTGCTCGTTTTGGTTTTTGTGATTGGTTTGCTTATTGATTTGATTATATGTGTATGACTGGTTTTGGCTTCTGGACTACGACTTTCGCTTCTTCCCTCTCTGGTACTGTTGCTCTGATTTGTTTGATTTGTTGGTTTTCTGATCTCCCGCCTGTCTTCTGACTATTCTTTTGCTCGCCCCTTTGGATACCGTGTTTCGGACTGTGTGTTGTTTGTACATGTCTTTTTGGTGCGTAAGGAGTGACTGCCATTTTGTTTTGCGACCGGGGTGTTTACTGTGTGTTTTGGATAGGGAGCCAGGTTTAGTGTTTGTCGTTTTGTTCACTTATTTTCACTTAGGGATTAGCTGAGTTTGGGACGTGCTCGTTAGTTGTTTTGC